CAGGGTGGGACAAAGGACTATTGTCTGTTGGAGCTAGGTGTGAATGTTTCAACTGACCACATTGATTAGCATTTGATGGCATGGCAGTGCCTGGGGCAATCTTTGTTGAGAGGTGATTAGATGTCCCTGATTGTTTCCTCTCTGTTGTTTTGCTGTTGTAATTTTAGAGTTTTTAAATACTGGTAGCCAGATTTTGTTCATTTTCATGGTTTCTTTCTTTCTGCATGTAGACAATTTCAGCAGCCAGGCCATCAAGTGCTAATCAAGGTGGTCAGTTGAAACATTCACACCTAGCTCTAACAGACAAGAGTCCTTTGTCCCACCCTGGTCATTCCACAGATATATAAACCCATTTTCCTAGTTCCAACAGACCTCACTACCTCTGAGGATGCTTGCCATAGATGCAGGCGAAACGTCAGGAGAAAATGCCTCTAGAACATGGCCATATAGCCTGAAAAAAACTACAACAACCCAGTGATTCTGGCCATGAAAGCCTTCAAAAATAGCTTATTTATTGTCTAAAATCCAATTCTGTGCAGAAAACAATGTATTTTGTATAAAATGTTCACAAAGCAAGTACTGGTGTGCAAAAAATATTGAAAAACTAATAATCTTGCCAGTTGAGGAGAGAACTTCTGGAACAATTCATTCTTCCATGCAATCATAAAATAAGTTAAGATTTACAATCCTATTTTGCAGTGATGTGATATCATAACAATAAATCCACAAGTCTTAACAGAGAGATGAAGAAGACTAGCCCCAAGAATGATGGCCTACTTAGATCTGGGCATAGGGTGAGACAACATGTGTTCTGTTTACACTCACACCCATAGCACAACCATACAGAAATTATAGCATTGCTAGAATTCTATATAACCTGTTACATACGTAACTTTACATATACATATACTTAGGTATATAACAAGGGCACTAAGAAACCCCTTTACTGAATTACAAAAATGCATGATGGGGCACTAGCAAAAATGTCTGATGTGCATTGGTTTGCAATGCTTGTTGGTGTGCAATGCAAATTGCATGCTGGTATGTAACATGCACTAATGTGCATTGCACACCAGTGTACAATTGGGCACTTTGCCAATTCTGCTAGATAGTAATGTAATAGTATCCCTTTACCCTGAATAAAGACATGACACAATGGTGCACTTCGTATTCCCACAGGCATAAGTTCACTTACGAAGGCTAAAGGTTCCAACAGGGTTCTGACCTATATTTGTAGATTCAAAGAAATGTTTGTTGTTTCTGTAGCATCGAACCTTCTCTTCTAAAAACAAATACAAATAGAAAATGGCTTCAGAATAGTGTCTGGACCCGACCACAAAAAAATCATTCAAACGATTCTAGTGAACAACTGCAATGTGCAAAATAGCCATCAAAATCAAACACGATTGAGAGAGTTTTCATATCACTTTGCCTGATTGTATCCTTTTCAATGGGGACAGTTCACACATTTGCCTAAAGAGCTTCAGGTAGCAAAACACTGTGTTATGAACACAAACCTGACTCAGACGGCAAAACAACAACTATCTACAATGAATTGTTCACTCTCTTTGGAATGAAGTTTTGTGAGACAGAATGAAGATTATTATTGCCAATGATCCACGATGGTTGAAGATGATCATGGAAAGTGCTGCCATCTACATAAGAAAAACACCTAAGGTCTTTGTTGTTTGTGTCAAGATGCATATGGGTATATCTACACTGTAAAATGAATGCAGTTTGATACTGCTTTAACTGACATGGCTAGATGCTATGGAATTATGGGATTTGCCATTTTGCAACATCTCTGCCAAAAGTCTTGCTGCCTCTTGCAACTCCAATGATTCTATATAATTGATCCATGGCAGTTAAAGTTGTTATTAATTCTGCACTAATTCTACAGTGTAGATGCACCCTAGAACAAACACAAGTATCCTTTGTCTGCTGTCCCATATTGCTTCCCTATGGATATTTTCACCTCTTTCCTCAACTGTGCAAAGAACAACCTGTTACAAAACTCATACTTTTGAACTTGAAATCCTTTGCATGCTACCTCTAAGTATACTCCATCAATATACATGCCGAAGATTGATCCATACACTGTATGGAAATCATCTATCAGACCGATGACAAGCTATTTAACCTCAGCAGACTGAAAGCCAAAACCAAGGTCACAGCAACATATTTTACAGAAATCCAACATGCTGATGATAACATAGTTGGTGTGCATTCAGAAAAAGACCTACAAGCCATTCTAAACACTTTTGCAGAAGCGTACAAGAAGCTCGGCCTCTCATTGAATATCAAAAAAGTGCTCTTCCAGCAAATACCAGCCAATTCCTTTGCAATGTCAGAAATCCAGCTTAATGGTGTAATGTTAGAAAATGTTGGCCATTTCTGCTACCTTGGCAGCCACCTCTCCACAAAAGTCAACATTGACACTGAAATACAACACCGTCTGAGCTCTGCAAGTGCAGCGTTTTTTTGTTTTTTTTTAATAAAGCAGAAAGTGTTTGAGGATTGGGACATCTGTAGGGAGACCAAAGTGCTTGTTTATAAAGCTATTGTCCTCCCAACCCTGCTATATGCCTGTGAAACGTGGACTGTCTATAGATGTCACACTCAACTTCTGGAACGATTCCATCAGTGTTGTCTCTGGAAAATCCTGCAAATCTCTTGGGAAGAGAGGCGGACAAATGTCAACATGTTGGAAGAAGCAAAGGCTACTAGCATTGAAGCAATACTCCTATGCCATCAACTCCGCTGGACTGGCCATGTTGTCCAAATGCCAAATGAAACAGTCACTATAGTCCCAATGCAATAATGGAAAATGGAATGTTGGTGGACAGGAAAAGAGATTTAAAGATGGGCTTAAAGCTAATCTTAAAACTGTGGCATAGACACCAAGAACTGGAGGCTCTAGCTGGAGGTCAGCTGTGACCAGCAGTGCTATGGAATTTGAAGAGGCACAAATGGAGGGTGAAAGGGAGAAATGTGCCAAGAGGAAGAAGGCGTGTCAAGCCAAACCTGACCAGAACTGCCTTCCACCTGGAAACTGATGCCCTCACTGTGGAAGAATATGTGGGTCAAGAATAGGGCTCTACAGTCACCAACGAATCCACTGCCACGACCCTACACTTGGAAGGCTATCATATTTGAGCAGCAAGGGATCACCTAAGTAAATAAGCATTTGCCAAAAAGTACCAATTTATAAGGTGTCAGTTCTTTATTTTATGTTGTTAATGCAGCCAAAAAAGTCAAAGTTTGCTCCAAAAGTAAATATTACATATATTTCTATTTTGCCCCAAAATTTTTGAAGATCTTTCTCCCCATGGCTTGAGCAAAATTCTACATGTTGAAGTTCATTCACCACAAGAATTGGTGGATACATCTGTTCAGTTTTATTTGCTCCAGCTATAATCTCTGCGCATAGAGATTATACGCAGAATTCTGCGGAGAATTCTGTTCTCTTTGCTTCTTACGCCTGTCACACAGCAGTGATAACTTCTACTGCCTACTCCAGGAAGATATGCAAGATCCTGGTTTGCTGTTCGCCTTGCTTGACTCATGAAGAATTGCTTCATTTCTTTTGTTTATCTACCTGAGGAATTCCTTTTGCTTAATCCAGGTAAATTGGCATCTTCTTGGTACAACTTCTAACGATACTCTTTTGTTATGTTTTTTATTATTATGGCTACTGAAATTTTTAATTTCTTTGCAGACTTCTTTGAACCTAAACGTCCTCTTGTGGAACTCCTGCAGTCAATAGACCGAAAGGAGAAAACTGTGATGCTGAAATGCATGGCTTCAAACTACAGACCCTCAAAAGTGAGCATTCGATGGAAAGGTAGCCCACAAAACTGGAGTGAAGCTTCCGCAGAACAAGCCATGGCAGATGGAACATACAGAGCCAGTAGTCATCTTAAAATCCCAATTTCTCAGTGGAAAGCGGTAGAAAGCAACACTTGTGAGGTGGTACATAAAGAAACAAATTCCAATGTTATCAAGAAGGCCACCAGGAAAGGTAACAGCAATACTGTAAACCAATAATCATCAAATTGCCAAAATGTGTAGGGCTGTAGCTCTCTGCTTGTCAAATCACCTTTTATTGAAACCTTAAGCAAACCAGTAAATACAGGACCAGTTGGGCATCCGATGTTGGGATTGTCATTGTTGTTGTGTACCTTCAAGTAATTTCTGATGTACTAGACCTCAAAAGCATTTTCTGTAGTTGGGAGTATGTGATTTGCCCAAAGTCAACCATTGGGTTCCTATGGCTGAGGAGCAAATTGAACCTTGAGTTGTAGCCCAATGATCAAACCAATAAATCTAGATTCGAACGATGGCTGAGAGGTAAAAATGTGGGGGTTTTAACAGTTTTATCACAGACAAAAGCAGAAGTGAAAACTGAGATACAAAGGGGTAAGAAATGGAAGGAGAGAGGGGGAGGTGATATATCTTTGGTATTAATAATATTTTATTTTTAAAAATTCATGCTGAAACACAGCACAAATGTTTTATAGACAGCCATTTTGTGTCACCTCCACTAACGGTGTCATCTGGCATGGTTTGCACACACACACACCCCCAAACACATTCCTTGTGCTGCCACTGGGTTTGGCCACTCAAACCACGAGAGCCTACTTAGTTAAATCTATGCATTATTCCTAATGTTCCTGCTTTCATCAAACGTTCAAAATAAACTTGCAAATGAGATGCTTTGTTGATCTTTCTGTATTTCTTTGTCTAGACTGGATTCTACCCACAGCCCTCAGCCTGTCCCTCAGCACAACACCCTTCTGCCATAGCATAGGCCTGAGAAACAGGAGTAGTATCATCTTATTCTGTTCCATCTACGGCTACTCACTTGAGAAAATGCAAATCACCTGGGAGGTTGGAGGGAAGGTTCAGCAATCCCCAAAGCCAGAAGCATATCAACAGAGTGGGAATGACTTCTACACTAGCAGCAACCTGACAGTGCCCCTCAAGGAGTGGAACAAGCTACAAGAGTATACTTGCAAGGTGACTCAACCTGAAGCAAAACACATCCAGACAGCCAATATCAGCAAGTGCACAGGTGATCATCCATTATGGTTACTCTCCCTCTTTCTCCATTTCTCTTCTTGGTTCATTTCTGTCCAGAGCATAAATTCATACTTTTGTTTAGTTATCCCATTCCTACTCTCCTTGGATCCTGTTAGACCTGAACCAGAAAGAAGGCCAAGGAATAAAACTAATGAAAATGCAATGTAAGTCTGGACTGCATTATCAGGCTGAACATATAGTTTCTGAGAATGTAAATAAGTCAGACCATTGGAAAGTAACATTGTCATATATATATTTCAAAATGCTTCACTGCATTCATCATAAAGATCACCATTTGGCTTTTGTTCCCCTATAGCATGTAAAGATAGCATTCCACCTCCCAGCCTCTACCTCTTGAAGCCATCTCTCAAGATGTTACTCACTCAAGGGAAAGCTCTCCTGACCTGTCTAGCAGTAGGATATGAACTGGACCATGCTATGCTCACCTGGATGGTGAATGATGTCAACCACACCAAGGATGCCAGAACAGAAAACATCAAAAGCTACACAAACTGGACCCAGAGTTTAAAAAGTCATTTGAACATCACCAGTCAAGTCTGGGGTTCTGGAAGCAAAGTCCAGTGCGTCATTTCTCATCCTTGTGCACTCTTCCCAGATATCAAACAGAGCATCCAAAAACATGAAGGTGAGAGAAGATTTCAGAAGACAAGGGTGACAATTGAAAAACCAATAGCTATGGGCATAGAATGTGCCTAAAAACTTAGATACTGGATTTTCTCCATACTAACAGAAGAAAATGTATGGAACACTTCAGTCATCAGACATATGTATAAGGAAAATTGGGTTCTTGGTTAGAAATATACGCTTTCAAGCTTTTATCATGAAAATTAAAGACATGTAAACCATACAATTCATTCCTCTACCCAACATTGTCACATCTCTTTCAGCTTCTCATCAAAAATCATCTTTGCCAATATTTCCTTTCTATTCTCCTTCATATAGATTCCAGTCTCATTAAAGAGCCATCTCTCTCCTTGATCACTCCATCAACAACACAACTGATGCAACCTTCTACCAAAGCTGTAGCTTGGCTGGCTTGTGTGATATCTGGGTTTTCCCCAGCTGAAATACTTGTCAGGTGGAAGAAGAACAATAGGGCCATTGATACCTCAGAATATATCACTGGACCTCCAGTAGTGGAAACTGGAAGTCCCACCTTTACCACCCAAAGCATCCTGAAAGTCCCAGCATCTGAATGGGAAAATAGAGGTCTATATACCTGTGTTGTGGGGCATGAGTCCTTAAGTGGCCTGAAAAACATCAGTAGAACCTTATATGGTAAGTCTGGGTGATCCATGTGCTGCCAACAGAATAAAGCCTAGACTTGCGTAGTGGACATCATCATTTGGTGCACTAGACCTAAAGTTTGTTTGTTGGACCAAGTCACTTGTCTGAGATTTAAAGTACAATTATAATACATAGACACACATAAACTTAGAAACCACAGTACACACATTCTCAGATGAATACTGAACTTACTTTCTGGAACATTCCTGCTTCCACAATTACCTCCGATGCTGAGAAAACTCTGACTGTGGTGTTTGAGCAAGAACGGCCATTTGCACATTGCGGTTGTTAGGTGGTAAACATGGTACGTGTATGTTCACCACCCAAAAATACTCCTCTAAAAGTAATTGTTACTGAAAGTCAGGAGAACCATAGCTGTGATCTTGAAGAAATTGTGACTACTTGACCCGAATTGAGTGCAGCATTGATGTTTTATGGGAGTGTTGTGGCTCACCCCATCTTTGTGGCCAAAATGGCACCACACTCATCAGAAGTTTTGGGACAAGCTTGTGACATTATTATTCCTCTTCACCCCTCCCCTCAAAGACCATTTATATCAAAGAAATTGGCTTTTTTTCTGAAATGAAAAGTTGACTTTTGGTTGACTGCAGATCCCAAAAATATGTGAATGGTGGGGATGGGCCTTGAGATTTCAGAAATGGCTTTGGGGACCACATACAACTCATTAATCAGATTCTCCTACCCATCCTTTAGTGTAAGTGTATGTGCTTGAAAGTAGATGAAAATCTGCTTAGTTGCCAGCCCCATTGTTTAGCAACAGTAAACAGAGTCTTCAACCTCAGAAGTTCTGCTTGCAACTCAAGATCAACCATTTCATTTCAGATCTTCTGGAACCAGCTCCCCCACAAGTGGTGGCATTCCACAACTCAGAGGACAGGGGAGGCCAGAAACTTGTCTGTCTTGCTACCAACTTCTATCCCAAAAATATTGACATTCAATGGCACATCAAAGGAAAACTTCTCAACTGTAGTTCAGATTCTTCCACTCTTGTGCCCCTTGCTAATGGGAAATTCCAAAAGAGCTGTGATTTGCTAGTCAGTGGAGAAGAATGGAGCAAGCCAGAGACATATACATGCACAGTAAATCACAGCGCTATCACAACCTTGGTTAAGAAGGACTTGCATTCTTCTGGTAAGTCCTAACATACAAAAAATACCTGCTGTAAATAGAGGATCTATAAAAATCCCATTTTCTTCAGCGCGAATGAAATGGAAATTATCTAGTCATCCTTCCAGGAAGCTAGAAAGTCCAGCTAATAAGCATATTCATAAGCCTTATGAACTAGTCCAAAAAAAGAGTATGTTGGGTTAGAAGCAGGAATTATTGTAAGTAGCTATTATCTGGCTGATGTAAGATTTATGACCTTGTCACATGGCAGCCGATGTCACTCCACTTCATTGGGGTAATGGGGAACCTGGCGCTCTATACCCCGCATCACCTGGCTCCAGGTGAGGGCAATCATATGGAGGGAAACATGATCACACGGCTTCCCCCCATGGATTGCAATGGCAACACAGGAGCTGTCCCATGTTGCCCTGACGGTGGCATGTGCCGCCTCTGCCCTCCTTCATCCACAGAGCCACAGCAGTGTTATCTGATGGTTCCCAGCTTGGTTGGTAACCAGAGCTAAATCGGCACATAACACCAAATTTAGCCCTGTGTAAAGTTATCACTGTGAGTACTTCTAAGAACAGTTTGGTAGTCTGATGGTGATTTCCTTTTCAAGGAATGGTCCCAACTCTCAATAATGAGACAGCTATCAAAATGAAACTGCCAAGCTTTGAAGAACTCTTCATAAACAAAAGTGCAGCTGTCACCTGTATGATGCAACTAGTGAATAGAACCACCAATGCAACATTCAGTTGGACAATGGATGGAGAATCTGTCATTGCAAATGACACTGAAGTCTTGGAAGAAACCAACAGCACATCTTGGATCTACAGCAAACTCTGGTTGAATCTGACTGAATGGAACACCACCACAGAGTTCACCTGTAGCATTTCTGATGGGCCAACAGAAACCAAATTCAGATGGAATGGTGAGAACTAATAGAAAAGCTGGGTGAGATGTAGAACAGAGGGAACACTGTCACTATAGCTGGGTAATTCAGTTAAACAGTAAAGCAGCTATGGACCTCATTAGATGTTCTTTGGGCTTTGCTTCCATTCGTTTAGGAAATGGAGCCCATGGGAATCCCATGGATTCCATCACATGACATGAGGGCACTTCCAGTGGTAATTCATGGGGCTCCATTTCTTAAGCACATTGAAATGGAGCCCAAAGCCAAAGTCTGGTGCTACAGGTTCCATATGGGAGAAAGTGGGGAAAAGATGGGGGAAAGATGGGTAAGGATGTGTGGGATGAATGGTCATCCCTCAAGATGGGGAAAGATGAGGAAAGACACTTCCCTCCACTTTCTCCTCGCTCCAACTGATGAAGCCCTAGAAGTTGAAAATGGATTGATGGCCTGTCTTACTCAGAATATACAGACTGCAGCTAATTCTAGATAAAAACTAAACAAAATCATGACCCCTACACCAGGCCCGTAGCCAGGATTTCATTTCGGGGGGGG